CATCATTATTTTACAGACCGTAAATATAGTTAAAGCTATAGTTTCATTCCATTCAACTGTAGCTATTATATAACATTTTACGCACAAATATTGAATGTGACTCTTTAAGTTCATATTACTTTTTTATTTATAAAATGCCTATTAGTGCCAGTTACACCCAAATCGGTTTAGCCGTTTCTGAGATTAGCGCGCACAAACGCAAATTCAAACAGACAGACAGACAGACACACGGACGGACGGACGGACAGACAGACATACCTACCTATATTCTGTCTGTCTAGACTCTAGGCATACTTCAGACAGTCCTAATCAGAGAAAGTTAACTGAGATTTATTTTAATTTGTCCAATTAATACGTAAATCATATTATGTAATTTATAAATAGTAGTAAAATATAATAATTTAATATTGTGACCTTAGAACTTTAAATTCTCTTTATTGTATAAAATAAAATTTAGTTATCACTATTTCGTATCACTTTTTTATAGTTCAAATTTCATGGCAGCCGTCACCCGCACCAAACTGCAATGGACGCAACTATAAATCATAACTGAGCTGGATCATCCTTATTGTATTAAAAATTACATTTTTAATACAACAAATTTTTCATAGTGACATTGGAATCTGTTAGTTTAAGTCCGTAGATTATTAATGCAATTACAGGAAGTTTTCGGACATTACAACACTTCCATTATTAAAATTTAATGATTCTAACACCGCTTTAAAGGTTATGTTCGCTACTATTGACGAAAATTATACAAGTAAAATATCTTGAACGATTTCATAAAAACCTTTCGTTTAAGAATTTCATATAAAATGTATGATAACGCCATATATGTTGTATGGTATTCTTTAGAATAAGATACATTTCATTTAAGACATGGATAAACTACATAATGTAATAAATTTTAAAGATTGTTTCCACTCTTTTGATATTGTCCTTTTCCTTATACTTCGGAATATGAAAAAAAAAACTTGTTATTCAAATAATAGGACTTGTTCAACATATCTTTTCAATTTTGTGTTGTATACATTGCGTTCAAGATATTTTGTTCTCAAATCTTTTCAAATTGCAATAAATATAATTTAAAAATGTGCTTCTTGCTTGCTGTCTGTTTTGTTTCGGAAATAAGAATGATAAACGATTTTCTAGGAAGAATAAAATTATTACATTAAAAAACTCCTGAATTTCATTACAGCACAAAAATACGTCCAGGTCCTGGCAGATTGTTACGTGAAAATTTCTTACATTATAAGGGACATCAATAACGAAGAAGGGGTAATGATGTTTATCATGTTCACGTCCCTCGTCTTGTCCTTGTTCATATCAAGTTATTACTTAATCGCGGCTCTATGTTCGCACGGTAAGAGATATTAGTTGACGTGTACTAATAATGCTAACGTAACTATGTACTAATACGGTAAAAGACTCTTAGAGAACATAAAACTTATGGCTTAGTCGTCTATTAGGCGTGCTTTTTGGATGTCATTATAACATTTAGGCTTATCATCATCATCGTCATCAGCCGCAAGACGTCCACTGTTGAACATAGGCCTCTTGAACGCCACAACGAACGACACTTTTCCATTTGCATCCACCGGCTGCCAGCAACTTTTATGATGTCGTCGGTCCACCTAGAGGGAGGCCAACGCTACGTCTTCCGGTTCGTGGTCGCCACTAGAGAACTTTGACTCCCCATCGCTCATCAGTTCTTCCAGCTATGTGGCCTGCCTACGGTCACTTTAAATTGCAAATCCGGAGAGCTATGATGGTGACTCCGGTTCTTCGGTAGATTCTTTTTTATGTGAAAAGTTGCCAAGCGAGCAGGCGGTTCACCTGATGTTAAGTGAATATCGCCACCCATGGACATCTGCTACACCCGAGGTTTGTAGATGCGTTGACAACATTTTGAAAATTGGGCTCCCGCTACCTCACTCACCAGACGAAACGCAAAACTATTTGTCATACTTCCACTTTACGCCGGTCTTCTGTGTGGTCGTGGTACTTACAACAGCAACAGCCGTGGCTGCAGCTTGACCCTACCACCGTAAAAGGCCATTTCGGCTCAATATAAGAGAATATAATTATGTTGATAAAAAAAAGCCGAACTGGCAGCAGTAAAACGAGTATTTTAAAATCAATCAAAATTTAAAATATTAATTTACATCGACTTAACCGTAGTCTAATTTTAATTTTTCATTTCAATTTAGCAGAAACATTTAGAGGAGTATTTAATATAATACTTCAATTCATTTGGAACATTTACCACTCTGTCATCATCGTTCTTATAATTGAACCCTGCCATCGTGCATATGAAGAGGTATGACAATTTAAACATATTAATTCCAAAATAATGTTTGTCTTAAAATACTCAAAAACTCTGGTTGCGAAAACATATGCCTCAAGAGGTAGTAAGACAGTTCGATCTACTGTTGAACGAGGAGTCTAATATGGCCTGTTGGAGTACAAGGTGGCCGATTTCAGAAGTTTTATTTAATTCACCTTTAAGGAAAATTTTACAGTTTCCGCAGAAGATCAGCAATTCGATGCTACAATATTTGACGGACTATTCCCTACTATTGTGTAAATAGTATGTCTTTGCTCGGTTGTATCATTATACATGCTTACATTTAAGTATATTGTTATTCTAGTATATGTTTCATGTTCTTTTAGCTGGCTGTGACACAAGTCCTCGTGAGCCAACTGATGGTCAAAATGACGCCCGTCGGAGAACCAATACCTGCGGTGCTGGACTGTTTCCAGAAGCAACTCATCCTTGTGAAGCCGACTTTTTCACCGTTGAACATTTTCACGATAAACCGGACACTATATACCGCGGTACGTCCCGAGTATCGAATGAAGTAAATAACTCCTAACCTTCAAAAGCCTTCATATCTAACAAATAATTAATATTAAAACATGTAGAAAAAGTACGAAAAGATTGTCGCCGCTGTGGGAATCGAACCACGTCTTCGGCATTCGCGACCTGACGTTGGCCTCTCTTTTCGTACTTTTTCTACATGTTTTAATGTTCAATCTTAACTGCAGAGATTAGCACTATAAAAAAAAATCTAAAAATTTATTAAAAAATGAATATATAATATTTTATAATAACTTCTTACGACAGGTAATCGCGTGCGTGTCGACCTATTTAATTATCATCATACAGCTGCAACTCGTCGACGAGTGCAAGGAATAATAGGTGATGAAATCACAGCTTTATTCAATGTTTGTCAGTTTATATTTAAGAGAGTGATGTAATTTTTCTCAAATACTCATAAATTTAAAAACTTGAACTTGAACAGTGTTCGTTTCATTCAATATGGTTCTTAAAATATCTGTGTACTATATGGCTCCACCATTCTCCAAAAAAGCAAAACAGTTGAGTTTTCAAAAGAAAAAAAAAATACGGTTTTTATGGAATTATTAACCAAACACTTAAATTGAGCACCTAAGAAAACATAACTTTTTGACACTGGTTTACATGTTTGAGGCTATAATACTAAATTTTGATTTAATAACATGGTCGGGTAGCTCCACGATAGAGAACAAAACTTAATGACAGTTTAATATGTTTGTCAAGAGACACGCTTTGCGGTTGTTCATATAATACATATTTAGTTAAAGATTTCTGGAGATTTATTTGTATTATAAGTTCATTTACGATGCCCGTGGCTAAACATGAGACTTATTAAGTTGTCAGCGTAAAGTTTACGATTGAAGATTTATTAATATCTGTCGAAGTAAATGTTTTATTATAATACATTCATGTGAACAAATAATTGTGCAATCAGGTAGAATTGATCAGACTGGCTTGTAAAATCATTTTCTACATTAAAACTAAACTCGAGTTTTAAGATCTTAGTTTTTATCAATCATTGAATATTTAATGAGCTGAATAATTTTTTATTCGTTTTAACTATATGTTTATGCGTTTCTCTAGATGATGTTATAGATATCTATTCATAATGGCGTGCCGTACAAAAGCTTTATCAATAACAAAGTTATAACAGGTTTTTTTAACTACAATATTTGTGTAAAAATTACATTTAATGTGCAGGTACAGTATTTGTCCATGTCCGTTTTTTCCAATAACTCGGCAAAAAATTGCACCGGAAAAAGCACTATTCAATATAGGTATAGTTTAAGCTCTTATTGAAAGTCAAAAAGAACTACCACTGGTTTTGGTGAACCACCAGCTCGCTTGCTACTTTTTCACTTAAACTTAGTGAGATATTTTTTTTCATTCCTAAAACAGTATATTCAAAATTATTAAAATTATTTTGTTCCATAAACAAAAGTGTGAAGAAGTTTCAGTACATATCTCGAATTTTATAACATAACAGCGAAAATATAGAAGATGCCTCTAAAGAAAATGTATTAAACGATGATTCGTGACAATGCGTTGAAAGCACTTTAACCACAGACTACACAGGGGTATAAAAAAATAAAAAATTTAAAATGTCCACAATTAATCTTACCGCCGACGCCCCGGGGCTTTAATCCGGCCCTGCACATTCAGGTTGAAACGGAGTTTACAAGGCTCACTGTACCCTTTGCACCAAAGGAACATCCCACTGTTCTTGTTGGTTAACTATCAGCCGAATATTTATATTAAATAATATGCAATTCTCTGTGCACGGTTATTTTATAAATGTAATTCTCTATATACTGATTAAATGATTTTCTATGATATGAATGATTTTGTGCGACTTTAAAGTTAACTTATGTGTATCAATTACAATGCATTAACAGGCTACTAATTCTACTGCGACATGTAAAAAAAAGCAACAAGTATAGATAATAACCGGGTATAAACACTAATTGCAATCTACCATTAACTCCATTAAAACTTTGATGTAGAACAAATAAAGAGATAGCCGGCAGCTCACAACTAAAATAACATGCAGTGGAAGTGGCTGAAAATAAAACTAGTACAAGGATAAAAAGGAAAAAGAAGCAAGTTAACACCTAGAAGGACATGAAGTAAGCGTGTTAACATGCATAGAAAGGAATGTACCGTGAGCGGTGCTCTGGGCTGGGCGCTCCGTCTGTCCCAGATGACGGGTTTATCTCCGATACGGCTTATGTCGCACACTGGTGGGTTAACTGTCCGATATTCGCCTCAGCGGGATAACATCGGACGCGTATTATACGGCAGCCTCGGTGAGTACCAAAAGCAGTCCAGATAATAATGAAAAGTATGGTGCATGTTTAAACAAATCCTATTTACATTATTTTATCGAACTGAAAAATTATCCAAGCCTACTTGGATAATTTTTCAGTTCGACAGTAGGCTTGGATAATTTTTCAGTTCGACAGTAAACATTAAATTAATTAAAAAAATATTATTAGTCTTAATAATTTTGTTTTAGCATTGTTCACTTTAGTGTATTTTATATGGAAGGTGAGATCGAAGATAACAAATAGTTCGACCGAAATAGATGATCTACAAAATGTCTTTATTGAAATTTCATTTACAACATCAGCCGGTGTGGCAATATTGATGGTGGCGACGACAGTTTTTAGAGGGGCAAAATTCATAAAACGTCTAATTGAGATATTAAATATCATTCAGAAGGTATGTAAATTCGTATGTTTAAAAGTATGTAGTCATATCTTACAGGCCTTGAAATCTTTTACCATTAATAACAATCCCAAAGTTGTTTAAGTAGATCGCTCGTAGTATTTCATAAGTAGGTTAGTAATGCTTGTTACACATCTAAAAAGTTATATAAAATAAAAAAAAATATATTCTAAATTTAAATTTATAACAATAACATTTTTAGGTTTTGTATTTTGGCGACAGGGAAATTACCATTTGAAGAATCAAATTAGATTAATTAAAATCTATAAAGATTTTATAATAGACAGCCTCGAAAGGCGATCTTATTCTAGTTTTAGTTTGTAACATAAAAAAGTTCTTCTTCTTCCTTGTTACATAAAAAGACGATTGAAATTCCTTATATTTGGAATTTTGTGCTACGAACCGAATTTGTGCAACGAATTTCCGAAATTGTACTATATGTTTATGTATATGAGTAGATGTAATTGCATTACCCATCACCGATAACATAATACAATATATTAACATTATACTGGTATTGATCCGTGCAATTTTTTCACATTATAATCAGTCACAGATGGGTAATGTAATGGTATTTTATATTGAAATCGCAAAAAATATCAGTTATGTTGATAAAATTCGTTCAATTTTCAATTTGATAGATTTTTTTATTAGCACATAATATATTTATGTTTCAGTTTGACTTGAATGGTATATACGCACAGAAATTAATGAAAGTAGAAAAAAACAGATCCAACGTGCTACTTCTTTACATTACTATTCTTGTCATCATACTGGTTCTTAGCATATGGAATAACATTTTCAATGTTCTGACAAAAGAAGACGATTGTAAGTGTATTAAGATGTTTGAATTGCCTATGACGTTGATTAGTTTTACAAATGCCACTAATTTCTTTGAACCCATGACTATGAACATGAACGCTGTAAAGTGTAAGAGACGTCGGGAATGTAAATAAATACAACAAAGTGGAAATGATAAAACAATTTTATTTAACCATGTGTAGTGTATTCGTGTGCATACAGTAAAAGAAAAAAGATATCAATGCAATTTATAGAAAAGAGCACAGTTTATAACTTTTAATGAAGGGTTGGTAACAATAGAGTGAAAATAGGGACGGCTTGTAAAATCGAATGTACTAAAGAAACGTAAGAAATGGTCAGGTTTTCTATCATGAATGATACAAGGCGACGAGTACATTAAGAGATGTGTTTTACTCATTCATGATAGGGAAAAAAACACAAACTCCCTCGTTGAATCTGTGGTGAAGAAGCCACAGTTTCATACCGGCTCCTGCTGTTCGAGAAGGCTGTCTCTACTGGTAGAGTGCTACGTTTTCTTAGAAAAATTCTGTTGATCGAGGTAATCGGAGCTCTACTGTTAGCTGGCATCACGCATGCTATAATTTCGAGTGTAGCAATCTTGCATTTTACTAAAGCCAATTAAGCTTAAACGAGACCGTGTTGTAGGGGTTCTTGGGGTTTTGATTTTAGAAGTGGACATAGAGATATATTACTATTCCGTTTTCAGATAGAGTAGCAATAAGGATGATATTATTTAGTATTGGATATTTAGCAATGGTTATCCAAGCACTGCGATTTGTATTCATCACACTGACGATACTCACAGCGTTCCAGGCGATGAACGGTCACTTGTACCAGGTTCTTTCAGATGTTAAACGAAGTGCGTATTTCAAGTTTGCAGCAATAGTAATTAGTTTTGTATACATTTAGTATGTAAAATGTGCAGAAGAAGTTACACTGCCTTTAGAGTAACAAAAGAAAAATAATTAAAATTGTTATCCCCTACGACAGTACGCTTTGCTTGTCGATAAGACATTAAATGCAATTGTTAATAGCAGTTTGATTAACTAACCTGGAATTTTATTACATTCAACATAATTATATCTTAATGTGTACTCTCATAATTTTTCCAAACGCCCTAAAAGAAGTATAACTTCAACAGATGTGACGCAATTTCATTACAATCTGTCTCATTCTGTTAATGTTAATCTATTATATTCTGTTTATTTATGACTCTGTTTGTTCTTAGATAAAATCATGGGCAAGATAACGTCATCGGCTTATAGAACCATCAGGCATCTGGCTAACACTTACGATGCTTTAAGCGATATCGTGAAGGGCCTGAATGAGGACAATGGGGCAGTGCTGCTTTTTACATCCATTTCCTTTGTGCTTTTCATGGTCTCAGCATTTGTATTAATCAATTACCTTAGAAGCGTGGAAACAATGACTTTGGGTTCGTTTAAAGATACTTTTTTACTTACATATCAATGTAAATTCCTATGACATTCCACAAGTTGTCTTTTATTTTCCAATATTTAGACGTGCAAACAAAATAATTAAATACCATTGGATTTTAAGGCTTTTAGTATTCATCATAGTTCAGAGATGATTTGATACAAATCGTTATAAATAAATTCGATAGTGATTTGAGTATTTACCAACTACTCTCTTACAAATTAATCTCGCTCTGATTTTATTTTACTTCGTCAAAATCCCCGTCACAATTCTTTTACGGGCTATTGTATATCGTTATTTTGTCATTTTTATATCTCGAGTGATAAGGCGTAGATAAGTATACGACGCAAAATTTCGAGTTTACGTTACTTACATGTCACATTTGAAGGCTAAACAACTTCCATGATCCGTAGAAAAGTCGCATCATGTGACTGAGTTTTTGTTTTCTTTTTTATTCCAACAGGCGTGATCGTCGAGAGGAACAGCGTCCGTATAGCAATTCATGCACTTTGGTGCACTCTCCATTCCCTAAATATGCTAATACTGGTGGAGCCTTGTCATCGAACATATACCGAGGTAAACTTATAAAATTTTTTGTGCCAGAAAACCATTTAAATCCTGTTAACAAGATGTCCAAGTTTTTCAATGTCAAAAACAAATGGAAGTAAGGAACCAGCAAAAACTGCACGTGCTCAGTGACCAGCTGATACTCTGGTGCCAGGTCGCTCAGTGACCTGGCACCAGAGTATCAGCTTCCGCCAACCGACCAGTTGGTTTCACCGACGTGGGTTGGGTATTCGATTCCCACACGGGATAAGTATTTGCGTGATCTAGATGTTTGTACACTTTTAACACATCGTTCCAATCACTACATAATTGTCAAATTCTCGCATAAATCTAATCAGTAGTAACGATTAGTAGTTTCGTCAAAAGAAATTAGTGATCAGCAACATTTCAGCCCATTTGAGTCCACTGCACATAGGCCTCCTCCCACGTAGACAGCTCAGTGCAACTAAGCACGATCTTGAGCCACTTTATTTAATGGACTTCGCACATAGGAATTATTAACTTTTACATTTTAAGTGCCGAACTAGTGCCGGAGATATGTGAAGTCCGCCAATCCGCGGTTGGAACTTTAAACGCTGACTTATCAAGTTCTCAGCGATAAACAAAATATCTTGAGGAAACCTGCGTATTGTCGAAATAACAACAAAAAATATGCTAAGTCTGTTAATCCACAGTGCATTATGGACTGTGCCCTAATACGCTCTGCACAGGGGACGCCTTTGCCCAGCAGTGGGACATATATAGGTTGTTACTTGCCCAGGCGTATTATTTATTGGCTATTACTCTTTGCAGATGCAAATGACACAAACATACGTAACTCGAATTATGTATTGTAATGCGCCTATGGGCGGGTCAAGTCCACTGGGCAATGAACTGGAGATGTTCTTCCGTCTGGTCGTTTCTAACAATCCCTCGTATTCACCTCTTCAAGTGTATACATTTGATCGGTTGTTTTTAGTAAAGGTAAGCAATACAAGATGTAAGAATCATATGGAGCCTTAACCTTCTTCACGAAAATCATGTAGAATTTTTTTTATACGAGAAGATGGCAAGCGAGATGACGGTTCAGGTGATGTTGAGAATGATAGAAGGTGGGCAGACCTATCATTAAAAAAAAACATCAGAACGGAATCTCAAAGTTCCTGTCTTAGCACGTAGAAAACCTTGTCAATATCTTGTCAAAAATGTAAGAACTGTTGAGTGTCGATAGATGGCAATAGCGTTCAAATCAAGACTATTTCCGGTACGGTCATGATGCGTCAGGCACGCACGTGTGAAATAGGTAAATAATAGCATAGTTTCCGTTGTGTGTGTATTGACCTAAAAACGGTGGTCACAATGTTTACTCTCCAATAAGCCTCCTTAACATCATTCACATAGAGTTCCTGTTATTTGATACCGCTAACAAAAGAAGAAAGAGAAAAATTTGTAAGGTAAATAGGAAATAATATAAAATTCATAAAAAATCATTATAAAAAAAGAAAGTAACTACACTCGACAACTATAGCCAAACTTATTTATTGAAATGATTATTCACAGATAGCAAACATTAGTTTAAAGCAGTTTATTAAATAAACAATCATCTATTTCTTTTTTTTTAAAAACTCTGATTATTCTATATTTAGTTTCTTTCACAAAATATACTTTTATGCATATGATATGTGCAACATAATTTCGATGTTTCACATTCGCCAGGCGTCTCGCGGCGCCTAATTTATTTGCTATTAAAATAATAATTCATTTTATATTTTACTGCTTGTCTCTATACTTCAGAGAAACGTTTAGAGAAAGAAAAATTTTCGTCCATATTTCTTAAAATTTTAGGTGTCATACATATTTTTCAAAATATCAATACTTTGACATCTTCGCCCGCATTGCAACCACAAAACCTCATAAAGCTTCTTTGATTTCGTTCATTGCCTTCATTTAAACTTTGAAACATTTCAATTACCTAAATGGGCTTAAATTTAAACAGTAAATTGGTGTATATCGTAATTTGTCTTAACTTCTTAAACTATTTTCCTTTACAGATGATCGCGGGTATTGTCTCTTACTTAGTTATCGCATTGCAATTTGAAGTGAAAGGATAGACTAGTTTTGACTTAATTCACTTACATCTGAAATCTTGTACCAGCTGACAAAGTAATCGTAATATAACTCACAGTTGAATACGACGAGAACGACGAGAACGAGAATCGATCAGTTTCGCACGTATTTGATATAAACGGTTGAAGATCTCATACAATAAGTAAGATAAAAACGCGTTTGACATGTATTTACTTTAAATATTATTATTAGTTATAAACTTAATAGTTGATAGTATTATTACATTGTATAATAATGTAGGGTGGTTATTTCACTTTGTAATTTTAATTGTTTGAAAAATAATTAAGTTGAAATAAATTATTGACACACTAAATATATGGTTTTATTACATATTTCTGGTTGGTATTTTTGGTTCACATGTAATAAATTTTAACACAAAAAGTAATATTGTATAACAAACTTTGTAAGAAAATTAGTAGTGAATAAATATTTTTTTTTGTCAATTCAATTCAAATACTTATTTGCTATAAAAATGGTTACATCGATTTTTACATGTCTATCGCTTTAACCTATTTAGCTGTATATAACAGCATGCAAATTTATTAAATTTATTTCATCATCATTTCTGCCTGTAATCGTTCACTGCTGAACATAGGCCTTCTCTAGGTATTTTCACTTCGATCGGTTTGAAGTGGCCTACATTCAGCGAAGTCCTGTGACTTTGGACAGTTCGTCAGTCCATTTTGCGGGTGGCCGCCGTACATTGCGTTTTACAGCACGTAGTCTCCACTCGAGAACATTGCTGCCCTATTGGCCGTCAGTTCTGCGAGCCCTGCCCATTGCCACTTCAGCTTGCAGACCCGCTTGACTATGTCGGTAACCTTCATTCGTCTGCGGATCTCCTCATCCCTGATTCGATCTCGCAGAGAAACCCCCAGTATAGTCCTCTCCATTTCCCGCTGAGCGACGCTGAGTCTCTTTAGGAGGCGCATAGTTAGAGACCACGTCTTGGCACCGTAAGTCATCACTGGCAGTACGCATTGGTCAAAGACATTTGTCTTCAGACTTTGTGGTAATCTGGACGTAAAGACGCTGTGTCGCTTGCCGAACGCTGCCCAACCGAGCTGGATTCTTCGAGTAACCTCTCTCTCGAAATTGGACCTGCCTAGCTGGACGAATTGTCCTAGATATACATACTCGTCAACAATACAACTGTTACTAGTTTAAAAAAATGCATGTACAACAATTTCTTTAAGCAGTTAGACTTATTAAGGTGTCTCTTACTTCCTTGTTACTTAATTTAAATTTTTTTTAATTGTGTATAACTACTAAATTGACTACTTATCCGTTTATTGTTTAACGTTTCTCTACTGAACATATAATTTTATACCAAACTTTCTAATAGTGAAAACTTTTAATTGGCCTTTAATTTTGTTAAACTTGATCAAACAATGACTATCTTCTAGCTGTAAGTATTCCAAAAATATCTAAAATAAAATAAATTTCCAGGGCCGAGCTCCCCATAAACACTGTGTTGTGAAACCCGATTGAGGCTTTCTAACATCGTGCTGAGTTTCTCCAACGACTCAGTCATGACCACAATGTCGTCGGCAAATCGAAGGTGAGTTATAAGTTCGCCATTGATGTTAATGCCGGGTCCTTCCCATTCCGGGAGTTTGAAGGCGTTTTCCATTGCATTGATGAAAAGCTTCGGAGATATTACATCCCCTTGCATCACACCTCTCCGCAACTGAATCGCCTCCGTGCTCTGTTCCTGTACTCCGACTAACATAGTGGCGCTATTGTATAAACAATTCAACACTTCGATGTACCAATAGTCTCACTCAGCATCTCCAGCTTGGTAGATGCTATACTGCCGTCTTCCCTCTTAAGCTTAGTTAACTGGCTTTGATCAATAGACAGGTCTCTACCAGTTCCATTTCCTCTGAGGCGGCTTCTTCAAGAAAGTTCTCCAGAAATTCAGGTAGCCTCTGGCCCTATTTTTTTGTAATTACTGGTATGTTATTTTATTTTATTGTTTTTTTTTAGTTTATTATTTTGTTCTTGTTCTTTTGTAAATATAAACATTGTAACCAAATGTTATATGTGTGCAAATGAAGTGTCGGTTAAATTAAATGTCTTATGTCTTTAACAACAAATACTAAAAAAAACAAACTATTTAAGTGTGGCTCCTATACAACAGGCATTATTTTTTATGACCGTTTCTATATATAATGGTACGGAACCGTTCGGGCGTGAGTTCGACTCGGACTTGGCCGGTTTTATTATCACACTCTAGCAAGGGCTTTATAAAATCCTGAAGAATATTGTTCACTATAAAAAGATTTCAAACGGTGATTTCTATCGCATCCAACGGCTTCATTATTTACATTAGAACTAAATTACTGTTTGCATAATCAACAATTAATTTATGTCATTTCTATGGCAACCCGATCAGTAAACATTGGTAACAATAATAGAGGCTTATTCCTTGGATAACTATAACATAGTTGTGGAGTCCATTGATAGTGACAGTACGTGGTCAAAAGAAAGTTTAGGAGCTGATTATGAGTGCCGTTAAGGAGTATTGCTTTGTGCGAGGGCCGCTAGCTCTGGTTCTTCGCCTATCACGTATTCACGGCGTGGCACCGTTATTCTTGGAATCACACCATGATGCTCATCTTGCTCAAGTATCTCCTCGCTTAACTGTTTACAGTAAATTCCTTCTCACAGCCATCAGTAAGGATTTATTATGCCAAGCCTGTAATAACACACCTCCAGATAATAACTAACATAATTCAGTAACAATTGACTCTTCAATACATGACGAAAATGTATGAGATACTAGATATAACAGAAAGTTAAATTTGGTATATCATATTGAACTAACAGTTTACATCTTATTTTGAAATAAACAATATGTCTAAGTAGCAAAGCCATTCCATGTTCCATAACAACAATAATAAAAGCCAATTTTTATTATTCAAATGCATTTTCTCTTATGTATCTATGTATCCGACAAATTGTCAATAACCTCTAATTCTTCTTTTTTTTAAAAACGTTTTCCTTACTTTAGGATAACATTATCCTGTGTTGTAAAGACGTTTTACAAACATAAATTTCACGTGGACAAACACCCAGATGCGAATCAACTATCTGTTGGTCACACAAATAGTTGTCCCGTGTCGACCCCCGACGCCAAAGCCAATACCTTGGCAACTGCGCCACGAAGTCATCTTGTTAATTACTTTTTTTTTACAGTTTTATTTACGCTTGTTGGTGTCATCATGGATTTATTTCATACGGGAACCGATAAAGGTGTGAAAGCGCAAACGATCTCTGCACTGTTGTATGGTTGATAAATATTGCGATAGTAATGGCTATGACTTGCCTCGGAGTTTACCAAGGACCAACGCGTATGAAACGTATGGTGCATTATTTGAAGCGTGTGGAGAAGGTTTTACTTTATTATTTATATATTTTTTACTACGTTTACAAGAACCCGAATTTTGTACTTGTTTTTATACGACATTACTGAATGAAACTATTTTTATGGATTTATCGCGTTTACTTCTAATTTTAATACGAATCTTTAAAAAAAAGTAAAGTATCAGCCTATACATGTCCCACTGTTGGGCAAAGGCCTCCTCTGTACAGAGGGTATTAGGGCATAGTCCACCATGCGGCCCCACTGCAGTTTGGCGGACTTCACATATCTTCGAAATATTTTTTTTATTATGTCGAAAATATGCAGGTTTCTTAGCGATGATTTTCCTTCACCGCCGAGCACAAGATAATTCAGCACTTAAAATTAACAATTTCATTGGTGCTAGCACCGGGGATCGAACTCAGGTTGCTCGAGTATATTAAATTAAGGCGAGCGTCCGGGCATTGAGCTATCACGGCTTATACAATTAAAATTATACGAATCGTAGGGAATTATAATTAAAAAATAAACACTATAAATCCACAAAATTAGTTTAATTTAGAAACATGTCGAGTTTCAGGTCAATCAAATGCTTTCAAGCTTGACACAGCTACCAACACATTATTTGGTAGACGCTGCATCGTTGGACTTTTGCTGTCGCTGTATTTAATCATAGCAATGGACTTTGGAGCGAGCATATTGGACGCACATGCGTATGGGAAAGATGGTAATGTAACGTCAAAAATGGGGTACTACTACTTTCCGGTTGAACTGAAAATTAATCCTCATCATCATCATCATTTCAGCCTGTTCGAGTCCTTTGCTGAACATAGGCCTCCCCTATAGAATGCGACGAAGTACGATCCTGAACCACCTGCATCTATCGACTTCCCGCGCATTTGCACAGGTCGTCACTCCATCTAGTGGGGGGTCGCCCTGCCTGACCTTTCTTCTCCAAAGGTTATCGGCTCTACGAGCTTTATGGCCGGCCCGTCGCCACTTCAGCTCGCTCATGTTCTGAGCTATGTCGGCTACCTTTTTGCCACTGCGGATGTCTTCATTGCGAACTCCTATCACGCAAGGAAATAAAGAGTATAGACCGCTACATAGCTCGCTCAGCGACGTTGAGATAAAATTTACCCCATTCCCAAAAAAAAATATCATGATACATACTAATTTATTGGTGATGGATTATAAAACTTGTGACGGTTAGCATTCGCCTCTAAGTAATGCTCGGTAATATTCACCAATCGTGCCTCGGGACATAATTTGCTCTTCCATAGTTTGTCTTGTTTTTTGTTTTGTATTTTGTATGATTGAATTTTAATAATAATTTGTCAGGTGTCAACTTATATGTACGTAATTAAACCAACACACAAATAAACCAACATCAACGTGTAAAAACTTTTTATAGTGGTTTTAGGGTTCCGTACCTTAAAAGGTAAAAATAGGAACCAGTATAAGATCAATCTAAAATATGGTTTAATCATTATTCAAAAATTCTACAAGGCTGAAATAAGAAATAAAATTTAATGGGCCTGTGATATAAAACCGCGAAAACGGGTTCATACTCACGGCGAGATTTTAATTATGTCTGGGGGATATTTAGCCCCT